TCTCTTTCTCAACAGTTGTTCTTTAAGTGTAACCTTTACTGTACCTGTAATTCCGGTTAATGATCTTTTCTGTAATTAGTTTCACTTATTGATATGTAGAACATTTGTAGTTTCGAATTATTTTTCGTATCATCCATAAACTGAATCATCAGTATCAATTACATTCGTATTATTATACATTTATTTTTTTTATTTATACATTTATTGCAGCAATAATGACAACATTTCCTGCAGGTTTCAAATTTTAAGCAAATGTTGTCAATATTGATGCAAGTTTTATTTACATCTGTATTAATTACATCTGTATTATTTATACCTGTAGCATCCGCATCTGCATCATTTATATTTGTAACAACTACATGTGTATCATTTACATCATTAATATCATCCATTTCTGTAGCATCAACATCTGCATAATCTATATCTGTAGTAGCTACATCTGTATCATTTATATTTGCATCATCTACAACTGTAATATCCACATCTGCATTATCTTCATCATCATCAACGACATCTGTATTCTCTATATCTGTACCAATTGCATCTGTATCATCAAAATTTGTAGCATCTACATCTGTATCAACTGTATCTGTAAAATCTGTATCATCCATATCTGTACCAACTTCATCTGTATCAGTTGTATCTGCAACATCTGCATCTGTATCATCTACATCTGTACCAACTGCATTTGTATCGTCTATATCAGAATCAACTCTATAAGTTTTATTTGCCTACACAATTCAAAAAGTTGCAGCAATAATCACAAAATTTACTGCATATACTGCAAATGTTAATGATGTTAATGATGTTAATGACACAGATAATTATTAATAAAGAAATAGATGATGAGGATGCTACATTTTCTATACATATAGATGCAACAGATGTAGATGATGCAGATGTGAATGACTCTAATGTTGCAGATGATACAGATGTAGTTGATACAAACATAAATGATTCAAGTGTTGATGCTACAAACGTAAATGATATATAGATGTAGATGATAAAAATGTTGTAAATGATTAAGATGCTACAGATGTAGATGATACAGATGTAGATGATACAGATGTAGATGATACAGATGTAGATGCTACAAATGTAATTGCTACAGATATAGATGACACAGATGAAAATAATACAGATACAAATGGAACATATGTAGTTGATACAGATATAGATGCTGTGGATGCTACAGATGTAGATGATACCGATGAAGATGCTACAGTTATAGATGCTACAGATACTCTTTAATTTTTCATCTAATACGAAAATAGAAGAACAGAACAAGCATAGAAGAACTAATGTCATAAACTGCAAGAAGTTATATTACTTGTCAGAGCAAAAGAATGCAATATAAAGTTTTGTAACGTGTATAGACATTATAATGGTATCACTTAGTAAGGATGCCTTGGCATGATGATCCATAATGGAACAGTGACAGGGAGAGACGATATATATCTTTTTTGCTTTACGAGATGATAGTTTTCCCTCGTACAGCGAACGTTTTAACCGTCGGTTTATTAAAGTGTCGCCGCCGTCGCCAGGGTATTGTCTCTCTTTCCATTTCTCTCTCTCTCTCTCTCTCTCTCTCTCTCTCTCTCTCTCTCTCTCTCCATATATTTTACGCCAAAGGATGGGTGGTGGTTGTCCACTCACGCTATTTGTGCGCACGCACGTACGCTTCCACCCCTTTCCGGGGGTGGTAACCCGAAGAATTGACAGCTACATTCCAAGCGCGTTTCTCTGACACTTATCTTTCAAGCACGTATACATTCGTTTTATTGCCGTAAAAGTCATACAGACATCAATTGTCTCCTTTTTCGATTCTTTCGACAGAAATATTCTTTATTAAATTTCTCCACATCTAGCGAATGATATGGTATATTTGAATCAATATATTTATGAGGTATTTTCGATATTTATGAATAAGATAGAAATTTATCGGCTTTTCAGGTTTTCGGTTTTGGTAGCTACATCCTGTTGTCAATTTTACATCTTGGTTAGAAAAGAGAAAGAGATCACCATTTAGTAACTAATCTACTTCTAACTGACTTTTCGATTTTCAATATTTTATTGTTAACCTTTCGGCTAATCGAAAGGTTAACAGTAAAAGATTGAAAATCGAAATGTAAAACCATTACTAACAATGAAAGATTGAAAATTGGAGAAAATTGTTATGGAAAAGTGGCAGAGGGCCAAGTTGGTGACACGAGTTAATTGAGAAAAGAATTCCTTTTGGCGTGAGCCAACAGTGATCGGTTTTTTTTATCATCCCTTGCGACACAATGTCGAACAGTATTCGCAGTATCGTCGAACTGGAATATGAGACTCAATCTTCCCTTTAGGTTTTTTTTTCTCTCCTCTCTCTCTACTACTTTGCTAAGGTTTCGCTTCGCAGCTCGTATTTTTTCCAAAGCAGTACTTCTTGAATTTCGAAGAGGGGTGCCTACAACTTATTGTAATACACTTCCAAACAGCATCCCTCTTTTCCTCTCGAAGGGTCGCAAAACACAAACAAAGAGGACGTGTATCTCTTATACCTGCCTTCTACACGTTTTCTATTACCCGCCCGAACAGCCAAGAATCCACTTAATAAAAACTTCACCCAAAAAAAAGGCAGTCGCGTTTTTATATTAATACAGCAGAGAGAGAGAGAAAGAAAAGGAGGTTTCAGTTAATGACTTTATTCACTTTATTCACCAAAAACACGATGAGCATATTGATCGAATAAATTCTATTATATTTTTCCACAATTCTAATTGTAGAAAAGAATTTCAACAATATTAATTTTAAAAAACTTATATAAATAATAAAAAATATATTAATTTATATTTGTAGATATTTTTTTTATTTATAATTTGTTTTTAATAGAGAAAAATTTAACTATTACATATAAAAGATTTTTTTCTGCTTTTCACGTTTTTGATCAAAAATTTCATTTGTATAATTGAGTTTGGTAAAGTATCGGAAATGTCGAACTGGAATATGAGACTCAATCTTCCCTTTAGGTTTTTTTTTCTCTCCTCTCTCTCTACTACTTTGCTAAGGTTTCGCTTCGCAGCTCGTATTTTTTCCAAAGCAGTACTTCTTGAATTTCGAAGAGGGGTGCCTACAACTGATTGTAATACACTTCCAAACAGCATCCCTCTTTTCCTCTCGAAGGGTCGCAAAACACAAACAAAGAGGACGTGTATCTCTTATACCTGCCTTCTACACGTTTTCTATTACCCGCCCGAACAGCCAAGAATCCACTTAATAAAAACTTCACCCAAAAAAAAGGCAGTCGCGTTTTTATATTAATACAGCAGAGAGAGAGAGAAAGAAAAGGAGGTTTCAGTTAATGACTTTATTCACTTTATTCACCAAAAACACGATGAGCATATTGATCGAATAAATTCTATTATATTTTTCCACAATTCTAATTGTAGAAAAGAATTTCAACAATATTAATTTTAAAAAACTTATATAAATAATAAAAAATATATTAATTTATATTTGTAGATATTTTTTTTATTTATAATTTGTTTTTAATAGAGAAAAATTTAACTATTACATATAAAAGATTTTTTTCTGCTTTTCACGTTTTTGATCAAAAATTTCATTTGTATAATTGAGTTTGGTAAAGTATCGGAAATATTATGTGGAAAAGTCAAGTGCGTCTGCATTTACAATTATTTGTAATTTATAAACGTTCAAAGTCCGGAATTGGTATTTATATATATAAAAAAGTAAATTGAGCGCCCATTGAAACTGACCAATGCTCGTATTCAGCGCGTTTCGTTCTCGAGTATCCGATACTTGACGATTGAGGTTCTCAATCGACATGAACCAATGCAAAAATACAACGAATTTTGTAGTTGAACATAACTGCCATCAACGAAATGAGCCAAACGAGACTAATCGATCCCCGTATACGAGAGCCTCTGAATCCACTTCAATTCCAGGTTGGAAAATAATTGCAAATCCCAAATTTTATGTTACTCTTTTTTTTCCTCAATTTTTAAGGAGAATTTTGAGACAAAGAATAACGATTTTCAAGAAAAAGGAGATAAAAAATTTTTTGTATTCTTCGATACTGAGAAATTGAAGTTTGGGGAAAAAAAAATTCAAGTGCAATGATGATGGAATTTTTATTCATTGAGAATAAATTTTATTCTTGGAATAAAATGAAATAATATGAGTTTGTCAATATTGGGTTTTTCCATTGGTATTCGTTGAATGGAGGATTTTTTTTTTTTTATTATTGAAAGCCTGGGTTATCTCCTTTCGACAATGGCGTCCGAGTACGAATATTCGAGAATGGAAAGAATCGAGGCGAGCAACATTTTAAATGCTTCCATTTGACTGCACTTTCCTAACGAGGAAAACCACTCGTGGTTTATATAGAATATGAACTTTATTCTCCTAATGGCACTTGAAAGTTACTCGCGCCACTTGTAAAACAGCTATTACACTCGCTTGCTGGGCCATGGGGGTTTGTAATATTCCACTCCCCCTACACCATTACTTTTGCTACGAAATTTATCCAGCACTGATTGTATGTTATGTATACACATCCATAAAGGGCATATCGGTATATATAACATATACATACATTTATATATAACACATCACATCTATAAAAGTAGCACTTATTATAAGGCACTCGTCTAAAGAGCTCTCGCTACATTTAATGGGTAAAATAATTTCATTAACCGCAATGATAATAAAACTCGACATTTAAAACTTTTTAACGAGCGGTCAGCAATACTTGACTTTTCACCCCTCTATTAGGACTCAATTTTAAAAACTCTTGTAATTGTTCATTTTTCCAAACATCCAATAAAAACCCGCGCACCAATACCCATACCCCAATATGTTCAATATTTCCCCAACATTGCTCATATAATTCAAACAAAAAAAAATACTCGCATTTTGGTTGCCACAAAAATTTAATTTAAGTTTGTCCTGATTTACAAAAAAAAATAACTAATGCAAGACATTCGTTTCCTTATCCACAGGTTCAAAAAGAGCGAGAATTTCAGTTGACACCTTAAATGAGGATGACGATCGAGATTCAGATTCGGGTCCTGATATTATTGGTGATCGTGTTTCAAATAAAATGAAACATTCAGCTTGTAGTACACGTTCAAGATCACCGTCACGATCGCGTTCACGCTCAAGATCACGTTCGAATTCGCGAAGTTATGCGACGCCGAATGCAACGCATTTAGTGCAAAATTCCGAACCAGAAATTATTGTTAATCAAAAATGCGAGAACAGTATCAATGAATCGGATGATGGCAGTGCTGAACCTGGAACACCAAGTCCAACGCATACACCGCCATTAACACCGGCACTAACACCCCAAAGGGAAGACACACCGGCGCCAGAGAATTTGAGTCTCAGAAAATCTGGAAGTCCACCGCAAACGCAACCTAGTCTACAGGCAATGGATCTCGTTAATCCACGACATAATTCGCCTCCCTCATCATTAGCGGTGAGTTTTGTAAGTTGATCTCAATTATTTATTTATTGTTCCTACTATTGTCATATTATTATAATTGTCATCAATTATCTATGGTTATCTGCGATGAATGTCTGTTGATGTCTGTTGCTGAAATTTAAATCTGCAGCAGCATTGACAAAATCTGTTGATGTTTGTTGATATCTGTATCTGCATTAACAGAACAATGTGAATGTTGTTTCAACATTCGTCCATTGCAACAACTATCTTCGCGAGAATTAAAGGTCTTTTCCGTTTGATTTGAATGTACAGCAAGCTGCAGCAGCCGCGGCGCATTTTTCACCTTACGCTCCTCTGTACGGGCCAGCGGCTAGTTCTCTATATTGTTCGCCAGCGTTGTATCAGCATCAGCCGCATCCGCATCTTCATGAGCCACGGGAAATACAGATGCAAATGCAGATGCAGATGCAGAATATTCCGCAACCATGTGGTCTGCAGGTGCAACAACAGCAGCAACAGCAGAGGTCACCGGTGGACGTTTTACTGCGAGTTTTTCCCGGAAGACGACGGAGCGACGTGGAAGCCCTGCTGCACAGATGCAAAGGTCAGTTTGTGCACTTTGATCATTTATTTAGCACAGCGGAACTTTATCAGTTAGTTATCAAAACACTTTAGCGAATAGTCACTAGTGACCAAGATCAAAATCTGTCAGTAAATTGGGTTTTTAGTGCATTTAAATTTCTCCAGCGCTGGAGTGGGACTAACTTAGTAATGACCCACAGTTGAGGGAGAAAAACTAATCCGAAATTGTTCAAGTACAACCGAAATTTGTTGAATAGAAAGGTCACTAATGACCAAGATCAAAATCTGTCACTAAATTGGGTCTCCAGTGCATTTAAATTTCTCCAGCGCTAGAGTGAGACTAACTTAGTAACGACATACACATAAGGGAGCAAAACTAATCAGGAATTGTTCAAGTACAACCGAAATTTTGTTGCAAATTGTGCCAAATCTACAATCTGAATTCGTACCATCCGTAAGTTTGGTGCTTAAGAACCCACTCGAAGCTGAATCTACTTTTCAGTTCAGAAAACTTTTTCTGTCCTGAATAGTTACACCGATCCAGATTCAAGTGTATCATTAGAGAAACATATCAAACTAACACTTCCCTAATTCTAAATTCTAATCTTCATCATGATTTTCATTTCAGAATTTAGAATTAGGGAAGTGTACAAAACAAAATACATTCGGATAAAAAATGAGGTCTTGTTTTTTTAATTTCAAAAATGAATATTTATGAACTAGGGACAAAAATGAATGTTACAGGTGACGTGGTCTCGGCAATGGAGGTAATGGTTTGCGAAGACAGTCTACAACCAAAATCAGCCTTCTCACCACTGGCGGGTGCACTGGCGTCGGCTGCCGTTGCATCTGCAGCTTCTGCCACTGCAACTGCAGCGTACGCAACACGAAGTGCATATTGCGGTCCAAGTCCACCAACGAGACACAGATTTCTAGCTGCACCCTACACAGGAACAGGCTACCTGCCAACAGTCATTAGGCCACCTAATCAAGCGAATCATCCTAATGGAACCAACGACGCGTATCGAGAAACTAGTCCTGACGACGCCAGCGATAAAACGAGCTACTCCGAGTGACCTGGACCAGGTCAGACCTCATTCTGGTCCTTTTTGTAACACTTGAATTCATCACACATCAATAACTTTGAATTCATCAACACAAAAAAAAAGCCCCAGAAAATTTCAATGCTCCGGACAATTTTCTAACCAAAGAAGCATTGGATCAATGGACAGATAAAATATTCCCAATCTTTGAATCCAATAATTGGTGCTCGTGAATGTAAATCGAATAATTTAACTTAATTTTCCCCTCCCAAGAAGAAAAATTATATATATAAAGAAGTGATTTTCCAAATAATACTATAGTATTTCCTGTGAAGGAAAAACAATTTTTTTTTCCATGGACATTCGATTCTATAATATTTGACATATCTCGTGAAAAAAATGTCGCGAAAAAAATATTGTCATACAAGGATTTTAGAGAAAAGGAAAGAAAAAGTATTTGCAGAGAAATGCAAAGTATACATATAATAGTGATGTAAGTGTGTAGATACGACGATTCAATGCAGTACGTATATACAATAATTTGCTGATGAGAATATATAAATAATGTGTGTAGGTGAAATTGTTAGCATTTTAGAAAATAGTGAATAATTGAAAATTGTAAATACACTAATTAAATGCTAGTAGCGGACAAAATTTAGAATCCAAAAAAGCTTTTTAAACTTTCGAAACTGCGACGAATTTGAAAATTCTTCAAATATAAAATTCTTTTGGTATTAAAATTTTCTTTTGATCTTAAAACAAAAATAAATAGTAAACAACTAAAAATTTCGCTAATATAGTGAAAATAGTTGATGCAAGTAAAATATTTCCCAAGAATTATTTCCGAACAGTATTATATCAGAAAGAATTACAATTTTAAAAAAGGAAACATAGAACTATGTACAAAGAATATTTAATAACGAATACAAAAAAAAACTGTTCTTCCTTTTTCAAAAAAAAAGTTTTCATACAAAAAAAACCAGTTTTAAGAAAAAAATAAAATGTTCTTCTTCCTTTGCCATTCTCTAAGCTCTAAACTGAAAATACGTATACGCAACTATAATAAATACGTGTAAAATTTCTGTAAGATGTTTAATCAGATAATTATTGACTGCTGACAGTGAGATTATAAAAAAAAAATTGATACACCATAAAAAAAACAATCTTCTGTAGGTAAAAAATTTGTTGTGTACGAATTCGAATGTATAGACCGGAAACCTCAATAAACGAATAACTATTGATATATCGTAGAACATGAATTTCTTTTTTATTTAATTCTAGAACCGTAAAATAAGTGACGAATTTGGAGAAGGAATGCCCTTTCGAAAAAGAGAGGGGAAAAATGAAGGTTTTATATACCCTTTTGAAAAAAAAGAAAAATTCCCAACATCAATGACAAAAAAACGACAGTTGACGAATTTTATTATAGGAATCATCAATCGAACCTTTTGAAGACTTATCCACTCAAATGTGTATCATTCGATTAAGTGAAATTAATTCCCGTTCGAGTGGAATCAGAAGGAGTTTAAAGTACCTAAAATATTAATTTTCTCCTTTTTCTGGATTGTAATTTTAGTTCAATTAATTATTTATTTTACGAAAGTTATTTTATTATTTCTGATTTATTTTTTGATGCAAGAATATTTACAAAATTTTATTTGACATAATTGGTGTTTGACATTAAACCATTTAACATCAATTTCATTTGACATTAAACCATTTAATATTAATTTCATTTGACATTAAACCATTCAACATCATCAATTTCATTTGACATTGAGCCATTTAACATTAGTTTCATTTGACATAAAACTCAATTGGCATAAACATCATTTAACATAAAATTCATTTAACATAAATTTCATTTAGCATAATTCCCACTTGACGTAAGAATCACTTGTAAAATGAATTTTATTTAACATATAAAAATCGTTTGACGTAAAATTAAATTGATATAAGTTTCATTTGACATAAAATTCATTTAAAGCAAAATTTATTTAATTTAAATTTCATTTTGACTTGAAGTTCATTTTACATAAAAGTCACTAAATATAAATTTCATTTGACGTAAAATTTATTTGACAGAAATTTAATTTGACATAAAAATAGCAGCGCAAATTTTAAAAGCAACCAATTAGATGTTATCAAGATTATTGTGATTGGACAATTTTAAAATTCGCGCCTATATTTCTATGTGAAATGAAATTTATCTCAAGTGAATTTTATGTCAAATGAAATTTATTTCATGTGAATTTTATGTCAAATGAAAATTAGGACAAATGAATTTTATGCATTGAATTCATTTGCCAAAATGTGATTTCTATCAAATTTGATGTCAAATGAAATTGATATATTATCAATTTTATTTTTATGTCAAATGTATATTCTGCTAAACTTGTTTTTATGTCAAATTAAAATAAAATTAATTGAACTAATTAATTTTAAAATTCAAGCAATTTAACTTCAAAAAAGGTAAGTAAAATAATCATGAAACAATTTTCTAAATAATTTTCTAATTTGTCATCACGTAAGAATGAACTCGCGTATTTTATTTTCGAAATTGTCAGGGTGTAACTAATATATTTGCGCCCCGTTGAGTTATATATTTGACGATAATAATGTTAGGGACGTGAACCACCTGCTATTTAGTTCTTTAGTCGGGGGTTACTATGTCTATTACACATACAATAGAGACTGTCTATTCTCTACATAATTTCAAGCGTTTGGAGATGAGGGATCTTCTCTTGACTGGCTTGACTGGAATGTTAAGCCTCATTTGATTGGGCGAGGGTGCGAAGGCATTTTGAAATAGCTGAAATTTGAGACGAGCATTCACTGATATATTTATCAATGAAACTTACAATTTATTGTTGTACAGTATCTTTTCCTTTTCTTTCAAAATTAAATTACCCGCAAAAAGGGATATCTAAGGATGAATATTTAAAAAGTTACTATAATAAAATTATGAGAAAACTCGAACATCAAAATAATTTTGTATTAATTTTGGGTTATCATTAATTTTACATTGAGTTTAATTTTGAATTTGAATTAGAATTTGACTTTGGTTTTCACTTTTAAAGTCAAAGTCAAAATCAAAGTCAAACTTTGAGGTTTTATTAAGAATCAATGTCAAAGTTAAAGTCAAAGTAAAAATCAAATTCAAAGTTAAAATCAAAGTCTGAATGTCAAATTAAAATCAAGGTTAATCGAAAGTTTAAGTAAAAATCTACGTCAAAGTTAAAGTCAGAGTAAAAATCAAAGTCAAAGTTAAAATCAAAGTCAAAGTAAAAAATCAAAGTTAAAGTTAAAGTAAAAATCAAAGTCAGAGTTAAAATCAAAGTCAAAGTGAAAATCAAAGTTAAAATCAAAGTCTGAATGTCAAATTAAAATCAAGGTTAATCGAAAGTTTAAATAAAAACCTACGTCAAAGTTAAAGTCAAAGTAAAAATCAAAGTCAAAGTCAAAGTTAAAGTCAAAGTAAAAAATCAAAGTTAAAGTAAAAATCAAAGTCAAAGTTAAAATCAAAGTCAAAGTGAAAATCAAAGTTAAACTTTCAGTCTGAATGTCAAATTAAAATCAAGGTTAATCGAAAGTTTAAGTAAAAATCTACGTCAAAGTTAAAGTCAAAGTAAAAATCAAAGTCAAAGTTAAAATCAAAGTCAAAGTTAATGTCAAAGTAAAAATCAAAGTCAAAGTTAAAGTCAAAAATCAAAGTTAAAGTCAAAGTAAAAATCAAAGTCAAAGTTAAAATCAAAGTCAAAGTTAAAGCCAAAGTCAAAGTTAAAATCAAAGTCAAAGTTAATGTCAAAGTAAAAATCAAAGTCAAAGTTAAAGTCAAAAATCAAAGTTAAAGTTAAAGTAAAAATCAAAGTCAAAGTTAAAATCAAAGTCAAAGTGAAAATCAAAGTCAAACTTTTAGTCTGAATGTCAAATTATTATCAAGGTTAATCGAAAGTTTAAGTAAAAATCTACGTCAAAGTTAAAGTCAAAGTAAAAATCAAAGTCAAAGTTAAAATCAATGTCAAAGTTAAAGCCAAAGTCAAAGTTAAAATCAATGTTGAAGTCAAAGTAAAAATCAAAGTCAAAGTTAATGTCAAAGTAAAAATCAAAGTTAAAGTTAAAGTAAAAATCAAAGTCAAAGTTAAAATCAAAGTCAAAGTGAAAATCAAAGTCAAACTTTTAGTCTGAATGTCAAATTAAAATCAAGGTTAATCGAAAGTTTGAGTAAAAATCTACGTCAAAGTTAAAGTCAAAGTAAAAATCAAAGTCAAAGTTAAAGCCAAAGTCAAAATTAAAATCAAAGTTGAAGTCAAAGTAAAAATCAAAGTCAAAGTTAAAGTCAAAGTAAAAATCAAAGTCAATGTTAAAATCAAAGTCAAAGTAAAAATATAATTCAAAGTAAAAATATAATTCAAATACAAGTACAAATTTAAATAAAAGTTTATGTCAAAGTTAAAGTCAAAGTCAATGTAAAAATCATATGGTAAAAGTGATTATAAATACTTCCTCTATGAGGAAGTAACAAAAGTGGAAGATAAAAATGAATCGGTGAGTGTCGGAAATTTTCCAAAAAGAAAAATATTTCCAATATCGCCTCGTGATTTTGTATAAACGTGAATATAAACAGAAAATTTTTTGTATTTAATCTGAGTAAATAAAATACGATATTTGTCCAAGTTCGGCAACACTTTATTCTTTCGGGGAAAAAGAAAAAGTTCATGAGCGCTGCTGGTCAAGTTATTTCGTCTATATATACATATAAATACATGCAGGTTTACATTTACCAGACACGAATGAAAAAGATGAAGATATATGTATATATATTCGTGTACCGATACAGGTAGGCGGTTAAGTAAATGATTCCCACCCGAAGTGAAAGTCAATATTGAAGAACGTTAAAAATGTTAAAAGCGGTCTCTCATCTTCAATAGTTTTTATGCTTTTTTTTTGTTTTTTTCTTTAAATTCAAATTTCAGAAATGCAAGAATTCATTTTCGTAACATTTATATTGTAATCATGCAATTGCATGATTATAATATAAATGTTATGAAAATGAAACGTTTAAGTTTTGTAATTTTTTGTTTAATTTTATTTTTATACACAATTCAATGTTTGTAAAAAAGATCATTTTTTCTCGTTGAAGTAATTTTTTTTTATACTAATAATTAGTTATTTTTAACTAATTATAGCTCAAAAAGTCATTAAATAATTAAAATTAACAATAATTAAAATTTTCTCTGATTTCCAGACATTTGGACTTTTTTCCTGACTCTGAGGAATATTCTGATTCACTCCAAAAATTATTAGATACTTAAAACAATGTTCCTATTACATTTATTTACGAATTTCTTTAAATGTAAAATTATTCGAAAACATCAATAACTTTTTTTTTAAAAAAATATTTAATCATTATTATTTTTCTATAGGAAATTATATAATTTAAAATTTTAAGTGAAATTCAGTTTTTAATCAATTTTTATTAGAAAATTTTTCGAGAATTAAATATTATTTAAATACAAAAATAAATAATTTATTAAATAATTAAATATTTCTTAAAATTAAATTTTTATGAAGAATTTTATAAAAAAATTTTTAAATAATTGAATTCTTTCCACGAATTTAAAAAAAAATTTAATAATAAATGCAATTTTCTAGCATTTTATTTAAAATTGTATAAAAAATAATTGAAATTTTTCGATAAGTTTTGTTATTTATGAAAATAATTGAATTCTTGCAACGAATTTGATTAAATTTTTTTTTAAGAATTGAATTCTTGGAAAGAAGAATTTTATTTTTTAAGAAAATAATTGAATTGTTTCGAAGATTTTTACGAAAATTGTTGACAATAACTGTATTCCTAGGAAGTATGTTATATTTTACGAAAATAATTGTATTCTATGATCAATTTTATTATAATTTTTTAAATTGATAAAGCATTTTATCAAAATTTTTTAAAATAATTGAATTCTCGAGAAAAATTTTATTATTTATAATAATAATTTTATTTGTTAAAATAATTGAATTCTTAAGAAGAATTGTATTGAAAATAATTCAATTATTGTGTAGGAAAATTTTATTAAAATTGCAATTTTATTAACTAAACCTTGTAAAAAATTTTGTCAACATTTTTTTAAATATGTAATAGATTTTTTAAGAGGATTTTATTTAAATTTTTCGAAATAATTGAATTTCTCAGAACTATTTTTTTCAATTCTCTGAAAAATATTTGAATTCTTTCGAGAAACTTCATTAA